TATAGGCATTAGTTGCATCAAAAGAACAACAGTCTCCATTTTCTATTTTCATTTTTAAAATTAGTTTTGCAGAGGGAGACTTCATCACAAATACTTTAGGGTTCAGCATAAAATAATATTTCGTAAACATTTATTTTTGCTGTTATTGTTTTGAGACTGGCTGACCTGGAACTCCTTATGTAGATGGCTTGCACCTTACAGAGATCCAACTGTCTCTGCCTCCTGAGCCCTGGAATTAAAGGTGCTCTGCCACACACAGTTTCACAAATATTTGTTTTCAATTTAGAAAAAAAAAATTTAAGCCAATTAACTTACGCTGGTGTATAATAGCACACATATAGTGCAGCTGTATTTCCCAAGAGAAAAGGACAACTTGATACTGCACACCCAACTTTCAGCGTATTGGCCCAAACTATCTATAGGAAAAGGAATTAAGAAGTAACATTAGAACAACCAATGTAAACAATTCGTTATGCTGATATATACATACATTTGTTTATTAAATTGTTTCTAATATCTCTCATGCATATTGGATATATCTAAGTTATATTTTGTTAAGGCAGCTTTCATAATGACAATCTAAATAGTTTTCTTTCAGATATAATTATAATAAACCAAAAGGATAACTTAATAGCAAAATCATAATATAATAACATCATTAAAATCATAATTTCTCCTATATGACTTAGGAAACATATTTTAATTTTCTTCCATGGGCATATTACAAGAAACATAAAATCAGAATAGGAATGAAAACAGCAATTTACTTTGTTATTAGAAATAACTGTTGCTAAATTGATTGTGCATTTAAAAGTTTGTAGCTTTGCTAGGCATTGGTGGAGCACACCTTTAATCCCAGCACTCGGGAGGCAGAGGCAGGTGGATCTCTGTGAGTTTGAGTCCAACCTGGTCTACAAAGCTAGTTCCAGGACAGGCTCCAAAGCAATACAGGAAAACCCTGGTTTGAAAAACCAAAAAACAAAACAAAACAAAACAAAACAAAACAAAAAAACTTTGTTGCTTTAAATATAGTCTTTCCTTTGTCAAGTCATAAGACTGGTATGGATTAAGGACACATGAAGCTTATTTAAAAGGTCAACAATAAGAATGGCACATTTAAGTATTTTTTTAAGGTGCATGAAAAATTAATTTCAAAAGAAGAAGCTTTGTATGGAAAATGGATTGTAAGATGTGATGAAGATTTCCAGTCTTTTGTGTCAATGATAGAATTGAATATCTCCTATTCTCTAATTGAAAAGAGAAGGGAATATTGTACATATCCTTTATGGAAAAGAAATAATCCAAGAACAAAAAGTTCACCAAGTAGACTTTCTAACTTTTAAAACTTTCTAATTTCATTAGCAAAATGAATGGAAGTATTTTACAGATTGAGATGCCAATCAATTTTTCCTCATGGCTGAAGAAGAATTATAATTATTTTACTAAACACTTTTGATCGTTGACTGCAGGAACTATAAATTCAAGCATCTTTAGCAGGATACAAGAGATGGAAGAGAGAATCTCAGGCATTTAAGATATGATAGAGGAAATAGATTCATCCAAATTAACAAAATCAGAATTGAAAAGGGAGATATAATAACAAACACCGAGGAAATCCAAAGAATCATTAGATCATACTTCAAAAACCTGTACTCCACAAAATTGAAAAATTTAAAAGAAATAGAAAATTTTCTTGATAGGTAGTAAGTATTAAAATTAAACCAATACCAGATAAACAATTTAAATAAACCTATAAACCCCAAGAAAATAGAAACAGTCATTAAAAATGTCCCAATTAAGAAGGGAAAAAAAAAAAAAAAAAAAAAAAGGTCAGGGCCAAATGGTTTCAGTGCAGAATTTTACCAGAATTTAATACCAATACTCTTCAAATTGTTTCACAAAATAGAAACAGAAGGAACATTGCCAAATTCTTTTTATGAGGCTACAATCACTGAAAGATTTTAGTTTGCAGAGCATGAATGTAGGAAAGGGGCAGAAGGATAATTCTTGCAAGTGGAATATAGAAAATCATAAGGCATGGACATTGACATGGGAGAAGAGAATAGAAATTATGAAAACAACAAAGTTACTATGGTGAGGGGGCTAGTGGTCATGCTAGGCTGATTCTGTTAAATAGGGGTAGTAACTGAATCATCAATCTCTTGTGAAATGACGGAAGTCTCTTCCAGGTCATGGCCCACAACAAGGAAATCAGCCCCCAACCCTGGAACAAAAGATTCCAGATGAGCAGCCCTGTCTGGGTCACTCCTGGCCCATGGACAGTCTGGGGACTTTCCAAGTCATTCTATGGTTTATCCTTTGAATAGTAACAGGTCATACCTGGGTGATCTCTCAAACACAAGATCATACTTTGTAATCAATCACCTTGTGCCCCATGCATGTATGCTGATTTGTGGTTTGTCTCTATAAAGAGAGCCTGAACCCTTTGAGGAGTGTGCTGTCACCAGAGTGCACTCGTTCAATAAACACCTCTTGCTTGTTGCATCTCCTGGTTTTGGTGTTTGTCCCGCGGGGCTCTCCCACCGGCCCATCAGGACCCCAGAATTAGGGTCCAACATCACCAATACCCAAACCAAACAAACATACAATAAGGACAGAGGAAATAGAAGAGATTTCCTGGGCAAAGTGGGTGTGGGTGGGTGTGGGCAGGATAAGTGGGTGGAAAATTGAGGGAGCAGGTTGGGCTGGGCTGGCAGGAATGGAGGGGGAGAGAAATGAAAGAGACAAAGAGATACCTTGTTCGGCAAGGGGGGGATGATTTCAGGGTTAGGGAGAAACCTAGTGCCATGGAAACTCCCAGGAATCCCCGGAATGATGCCAGCTAAGACCCAGAGTGCCTCAACTGGCCATCTACAGCAACCAGATTGGTGGCTACCTTAATTGTCATTACAGAGCTATCTCTATTTGCAGCTGACATGACATTATAAAGAAGAGATCTCAAAAATTCTACTAGAAAATTCCAGCAACATGTCAGGACAAAAAAATGAACATACACAAATCAATAGCTTTTCTATACCTCTGCAACAAACTACAGAGAAGGAGATAATGAACACACCCCTATTCACAATACACTCAAGGAAAATAAAACATAAAGGAATAAACTTAACCAAGAATGAGAAAGACCTCTGCAATGTAAAGTTTAAATATCCAAAGAAAGAGAGAATGACACAAGAATGGATTGGTGAAATTAGCATTGACTATTCTGCCAAAAGCAATTTGTAGATTCAGTGTAAGCTCATTCAAAAATTCCCATCTCACTCTTCATATAAAATGGGGGGGGGAAGGCTATTCTAGAATTCACAAGGACCCATAAAGGAGCCTGGATAGCCAAGTTAATCCTGAGCAAAAGCATGCTGGGAACATTACCAGTCAATATCTCAAGACATTCCTCCTCCATAATAGTAAGAAACAATATGGGGCATATGGACCTTTGTAGCAGCCAATGGTTCTCTAATTATACTCTAGCTGCCATCCAAGAGCCTTCATCTAGTAGCTGATGGAAGCAGAAGCAGAGAACCACAGCTAAACACTGAGCTGAACTCCTGGAATCCAGTTGTAAAGAGGGAGGAGTGATAAGTAAAGGGGTCAAGATCAGGCTGTAGAAACCCACAGAAACTGATGACCTGAACAAGGGGGAGCTCATGGACCCCATAGGATCCACACAGATTCCCTGAATTAGTTAGGAGGACTGGGCAGTCTATGGGGCCTCTGGTAGTGGACCAGTATTTATCCCTAGTATACGAATGGACTCTGGGAGCCCATTTCACCTAGAGGGATACTCTCTCAGCCTAGACACATGAGGGAGGGCCTGGACCCTGCTCCAAATGATATGACAGACTTTGAAGATCCCCATTGAAGCTTCACCATCCCTGGGGAGAAGAAAGGGGATGAGATGGGGGTTGAGGGGGGCAGGGGATCAGGGGAAGGTGAGGGAACTGGGATTGACATGTAAAACAAGCTTGCTTCAAATTTAAATTAAAATATAAAATCATCAAACTGAGCCCAGAGAAAAACAATTCCATAAACATAGGAGGCATCAAACTGGCATGCCTCAAGCACACTTCCAACACTGGTAGCAGGGCACCAGGAAGAGGGGAGGGAGCAGGGACTATTATAAGAAACAGCAACCCATATGCTACAAATGTGTTTTCATCTATAGCCTTAGTATGCTATGCTCAGGTCTCTATAGCACAAGGAACGTGAACATGACCCGGGTGCCTAAGGGAAAGCTGGTCAAGACTGGAAAGACATGAACGCAGTCATCGGAGTGGAAAAGCCACAGGGCTGAACAAGACCATCACAGGAGATTTCTTCTTGTAAGTAATGTAGAGAAGAAAATGGCAGCAGAGTAGTATTTTTTAAAGATCAGAAAAACTAAACCCTGTACATGGTATATTTAAGAAGATGGAGGTTTTTTCTTTCTTTTTTTTTTTTTAAGAAATGTAAACAAGCTTAAAAATGTTTCTTGTAACTAAAGTGAACACAAGAACTAATTATAATAACCTGTCAAGTACCTACCTGAGTATAATGGCCACAAGTTTTAGAACAGGTCATATTATCAAAATTATAATGTTGACTTTCATTATACCAATAAGAAATCGCTCGTTTTAGTGTACTTCTTATTCCACCAAAATAGAAACTTTCTCCAATAAAGTCATAATCCTCTGTGCATGCATATTTTTTTCCAGTACAGGGATTATGGAAAACTTTGCACTGTATACTCCATGCTTTGGCCAGTTGTGCTAACTTCTTGTCCCATTCCTGAAAAAATTAAGTTGATTACTAAGTATTTGTTTACAATAAAGTCATTCTAATAGAGGTAATAAATTAAATTTCAGTTAATTTTAGCTCTTTAGTAAAAACATCATTTTTTTAAAGCAATTAACTGGGAAATCACATGAGATGCAGCTAACAGAGAAAAAGAAGACATAATTGACTTAAGATCCCCCTCCCGCATAAACTCTTTGCTCTTGACAGCATCACAGGTCCTTACTCACCAGGGCATTCATATCGGCTGCTGGGGGGTTGACTTTGCTTCGAAATTCATTATGGGAATCGACAACCTCTTTTATAAATTTCGGGTCACGGATACTTGGTAACTTGGGAATTTTGTCCCATGCCTTGGAAAGTTTGCTGGCTACCAAACATAGACCCAACGTCCAGAAACAATTAAGTTTCTTCATGGGGACTATGGAAGGAAGTAGGTACAGCCCGGGTGAATGTACCGGAACAGGGATTACACTCTACACAGACTTCTGCCTTCTGATTAGGCTGGCAGTCTGTGTAGTGAGCTGCAGTCTGCATCCCTGCCTTCAGTGTTGCCATGGAGACTGATGCACTGCCAGAGTTCTGAGGCACAGGAGTTCTGAGCCACTCACTGAAAGCCTGAGGCGCCCTCTAGTGCTCAGTTCACCTAACACAAATGGTCAGGTTCCCTGCAAACAAAATTTCTTGACTTTGCTACACATATTGGAGCAGGTGGTTTAAACATTGCAATAAGGAGACAGATTTTCTGTTTTTTTTTCTAGGAGTTTAATTTAGCTATTAAAAATTATGAAAACTAGAGAACTTAAAAATATATTTTATGTTCACAAACATAAATGAAGGAAAATAAGAAATAAAGCTAAAAATACACAAAGGGAAGATTTTTTTCTCTCTGCATAGTAGGAGTATACTTCAACTTTGTTGACTCTTTTTCTCAATCTTTTCCATTTTTTTTTGTTTTTTTGTTTTTTGTTTTTTGTTTTTTTTTTTTTTTTTAGAGGCTGTCCTGGAACTAGCTCTTGCAGACCAGGCTGGCCTCGAACTCACAGAGATCTGCCTGCCTCTGCCTCCTGAGTGCTGGGATCAAAAGTATGCACCACCACCACCAGGCTCCATTTTCTTTTCCTCTTTTTTGGTGTACGTGTGTTCATACCTGTGTGGATGTACATGTTAGCCTAAGGTGGACATGGGATGTCTTCCTGTATTGCTCTCTACCTTCTATACTGAGGCAGGGTCTCTCAGTTAAACTAATAGCTTGATGATTGGAGCTTAGCTAACCAGCCTTATCTTTTTTCTCTACCTCCCACATGAGGGGATGAGGAGGCCTGCCACCGCTACCCCAAGCACCCATGGATGCTGAGGATCTGAACTTTGGTCTTCACATGTGCACACACCCACACACAGACTACATGAATTATGTCTATGTTGCATTATCATCAAACAACCATAAAAATAGGAATGCCTTAACTTTATTCCACTGCTTTCCAGTTTCTACACTAATATGTATATGTATATATACATATATTGCATATATATTCTTTTTTAATTGAAAAGTAGACATTGAATTTAAATTTCAAACAAGAATGTAGAAAATGTAATGGAGAACTAAACAGGACTTGAGCTCCAATTAGTCAGAAAATAATCTTTATTGTAGCATTTAAAAAGTTTCTTCTGAATAGAAATAATAATCAAAGTATTCTGTGAAAAATAAAGCCTAGCATGAGTAGATGGCATGCTCGAGGCTGCGTTGCTTTCTCAGTCAAGGGATCTGTCAATAAAACACAATTAAAAGCTCAATTTAATTTCAAAAAGAAAAAAAATAACTGAAATGTTTGTATGTGTACTCTCATGTATAATGTATGGAGTTTTAGTGAAAGCAAGAAAAACTACGTAAGATGAAAACATTGATTGGTTCTTCTAGCTTTTAAAACTAGGTAACCAAGATATAGAAGATGCTTAAACTTAAAAATAAAAAAACTTCAAAAACTTACTACAATAAAATCTTTACAATGTTGCCTAACAACAATGTCAATCCCATACATATTTCTAGAATGCCTCTTGTGTTAGAGGCGTAAGTATCTAAAATAAACAAAACCACAAAAAATTAACTTCATTTTGACACTCTACCATGCCCAAGTTTAAGTTTCTGAAGAAAATTCAATTTTTTTATGTGAAGTTTTAAGTATGATCTTTATTGCTACAGTGGAATTTATCCAAAATTCATCTTCCCACATTTACATTTTCTCCTCAGTTTTGAATTTTGATAGGATAGTGTGCGTGTCAGGAATTCATTTTTTTCATTAACACCCCCCCCCATTTACTAATGTATTTTCATACACACGTTAGGAGAAATAAATGAGAGAAGTGTGCTCAGCCCTAAACAAGACATTTACTCATACACTTCAAGGTTCAGCAACATTGCAGAAAAGCAAGGGGAACGAATATAAGAGTTAAAAGATAAGGAGAAGATGGGTGCAACATCATCTTTTGAACTAAACACAGTCATTGTATTAGTAACTCTCAGCAGCTATTCATACCTACAGTGGATCCACAAAAGAATGGGCTTTTCAGCACTCAAGCAGAATGGAAGGAGTAGTCAATGGACCCACCCACTCCTTACCCCTGAACTATATTCTACTGGTAAGTTCAGGGAATGAGAGAATCACAGCCTTCAATTGTATACCCACCGATGACCTCAACAGGCTCCAATGGGTATTTCTAGTCCAGAGGTCACAGTGCCGACCCTTGTTAAACTAAGTGGCTCACAAAAGAAAAGTGTAAGTCATGAGCATGAGGAAGGAAGTGTTAGGCATGAGGGGGGTTTGATAGGCACGAGAGGGAGAATGTGGAGGTGTAGGGTAATCAGAGTGGATTGCATAGAGGTGTGAAGCTGTCAAACAGCAAGATTAATCAATAAAAAAGCTGATGATGGAAGAGAAACATGATTTTAATCACAATTATGATGGAGACTGGCTTTTAGGTTTGAATGAGTCACTATCCTAGTAACAGCATGTAAATGATGGTGGCTCTAAGCATATGCCAATAAACATGTCAGCTACTTTGAGCACAGCAGCCAACTCTATCTCAGTTGTCTTTAATTTGTCTTTGCCTTTTTATTTGATAGGGGAAATATCAGTGAAGGGGGTTGTTGTGGAACGTTGCTTTAAAATGTGTTACATTTGTTTATGCTGTTGAACCTTTTTTTTTCATGATGCAAAGATGTGTTGAATTATTTTATGTTGCATTTGTTTTATCTTTGTGAAGCTGTGCTACTTTGCCTACCTACCTAAAGACTTGATCAGTCTAATAAAGAGCTGAACGGCCAACAGCCAGGCAGGGGGAAAGGGTACGTGGGGATGGCAGGCAGAGAGAACAGATAGGAGGAGAAATCTGAGAAGAGAAGATCGAGAAGGAAGGAGGAGGAAGCCATCAGGGGCGAGTCACCCAGCAACCACAGAGTAAGAAGGGAAGAAAGGTATACAGAAACAGAGAAAGGTAGAAGCACAGGGGTAAAAGATAGACGGGTAATTTAAGTTAAGAAAAGTTGGCTAGAAACAAGCCAAGCAAAGGCTGGGCACTCATGAGAAAAAATAAGGCTCCTTGTGTGTTTTATTTGGAAGCTGGGTAGGAGGCCCCCCCCAAAAGAGTAAGAGTAAAAAAACCAAACAACAACAACAAAAACAACTGCAGGGGGTATTCATCCGAACTAAATGGATTAATATATAACTTATATATACAGATTATATTCTTAAATATTCTTTACATTCTCATAGAAACAGTCATCTAGAAATTAAAAACAGATGGGGCCAGATGCAAAAAATTATAATGAATTTATGGAAATACTACTGCATAATTATGAAGTATTATTTTTTTCATTTTGCTTACAGCAGAGATTATTCCTGCAGTCACTTCTTTTACACATGGAGCAGGGTTCTCCTTTTATGTAAGGACCGACATTCTTTTCATTTCCTCTGCAAAAATGAAGGACATTCATGAGCCAATGATGCTGTTTTACATTTTTTATCTACATTCATGCAATCTGTCTCTGCTTTTCAGTAAGACATAAATGTCAAAAAAGAAAGAGCAACATCTACTGTTCAATAGAAGACTCATTTCCTGTGTACTAAGAAAGCATCAACACTTTCCTTTCCTTTCCTTCCCTGTCCCTTACTTTTCCTTCCCTTCCTTTATCTTTCTCTCCCTCTTTTCTCTCTGCCCCGAGTCCTGCTTGCCCCTTCCTTCTTTCCAAAAGTCTGAATTTTAAGAAAGTGCTATTATCCTCTGGTGATTTTCATCAATGGCTAATCTTTCTTAATTTCCTCTTAAAAATAGGATGCTGCATGTTAGTAGTTGCTATTAGGAGAAACTACATTCAGCCTGAGCTTTTAGGGTAATATTTGTCACTCCTGCTTCAGCTGCTCAGTGAAAGGCAGAAGAAAGAACAGCAACAGATCACATTTCCATCTCTCTGTATCATATCTTTCCTTCTTTTCATTCATTCTATGCTTTTATTCTTTGTTTTTATTTACAAATATTTATCTTAAAGTTTTTGTGTGTTCAAGAATCACATGATCACCCATTTAACTATTCCTTTTATATGAGTAGATATTTGGTTAGAGTTCTAAAATTTCACTTTTAGACCTCATTGTGTTTCTATATTCATTTGAGTAAGAACTCATCCAGAGCATTTAAAATTTGCAATCCCTCCTCAGAAAAAGTGCTCTTAATAAAATAATTTATCTCTTTTCTTATTCTATTGTTAATGTTCATTAGAGTTTTGCATTGCTAACCTTTTTGTGTTTTACATTTAAATAATCTTATGGCAGTTTATTTTATATTACCTGTGCCTCTGTGTTCATGTGTGTCTGTATGTACATGTGTGTAGAGACCAATGTTGGGCCTCTTTCTCAATCAGTCTGGGACATGTTTTCTGAGGCAGTCTCCCACTGACCCTGTGGCTCATGGACTGGCTTGACTGGCTAAGCCAGCAAACACCAGGGATCTTCTGGACTCTGTCTATTTGGTACTGGCAGTAACAGTGTTAAAGGTATGCCCATTGTACCAGGTCTTTTTCGTGGGTGCTAGGGACCAGACTCAAGTCCTAATGATTTCAAGACAAACATTTTCCTGGTTGAGTCATCTTTCCAGCCTCTACCATTTAAAGTTAAACAATTTCTATCATTTCTATCTTTATGTTGAAATAGTTCATGAGAGGAGAGGCTTTGCATTTAGGCAACACTCTGTCTCCATTTTCTATTTTCATTTTTAAAATTAGTCTTGCAGAGTGAGACTTCATCACAAATACTTTAGGGTTCAGCATAAAATAATGTTTTGTAAGCATTTGGGGTTTTTGGGATTGTTGTTTGTTTTGAGACAGGCTTAGAACTCATTATGTAGACAAAGCCTGGACCTCACAGAGATCCAACTGCCTTTGCCTCCCAAGCACTGGAATTAAAGTGTGCTCTATACTACCACACCCAGCTTCGTAAACATTTGTTATCAGCTTAGAACATTTTTTTTTGTTTTTCAAATTGACTTACGGTGGTGCATAATTACATACAAATAGAGCAGCTGAATGTCCCAAGAGATTAGGACAATTTGATACAGCACATCCAACTGTAACCGTATTGGCCCAAACTATCTATAAGAAAAGGAATTAAGAAGTAACATATTAAAACAAATCATGTACACAATTTATTATGAGAATATGTGCAATATTAATTATGTTAAAAATATGTATATTTATTATATTTTTCCTACTACCTAACACATTCAGTTATATTTTGTTAAGGCAGCTTTCATAAGGGCAATCTAAATTGTTTTTCAGATATAGTCATAAACCAAAAGCAAAACTTAATAACTAAATCATAGTATAATCCATTGTTAAAATCATAATTTCTTCTGGACAACTTAGGAAACATATTTTAATTTTCTTCATGGGTATATTACAAGAAATATCAAATCAGATTAGGCATGAAAACAGCAATTTACCTTGTTCATAGGAAATGTGTTGCTAAATTGAATTCAACTTTGATAAGAAATAAGTGAATGACAAATGCAAGACATTTTTTAATCAATTTTACTTTAAGGAAAGAAACATTTATCAAGACACAGTTGTCGAATTAGTAAGAAGAATGAATTTATTCCCAGTTATTCAGTAGCTTTTTTTTTTATCATCAGAGATTTGGTGAAGAAGAAACTGTCCAGGGTCCATGTTGTTAAACCACTTAAGTTTACATGCTAGTGAAGAGTGACCCCACATGTCTGACATAATCGTTTTAAGATGTAAAGGCTGTCTGAGAATGTGTTCTCTTTTCATTACAACAGGCTTGGCTTCAGAAACATTGGGTGTATGCCTGTCTTCTTTTTTACCAGGACACTTGACATTGGAGCCCTGTGGAATATTCCTTTACACTGTATGAAGAATATATATCATTGTGGTTGGGTTAATAAATAAGCTGACTGGCTAATGGCTGGGTGGGTGGTTAGGCAGGACCGGCGGACAAAAAAAGAGCATGGAAGAAGAGAAAGGGTCTCTGGAGTCCCGAGAAGATGCAAAGGGAACAGGAGACAAACCTGCCATACTGAGAAAAGGTCCTGAACCATGTGGCAGAGTGCAGATAAGAAATATGGGCTAATTTAAAATGTAAGAGTTAGCTAGTAACACACCCAAGATATCGGCTGAGCATAGTTAAGTCTCAGTGTGGTTATTTGGGGACTGGCTGGTGAGAAGTTTGACTACAGATTCCATTCTCCCAGTCTTTCTAGCAACAGAAAAGCTTGTCTTTACCAACAGCATCTACTCTGGTTCCCGGGAAAGCATCTAAACATAAAAGAACATCGTGTTGCTGAAGAGTAAACAGAAGTTCCTAAGACAGGGAAGCTTCAAGTTTCCTGCTTCACCGAATGAATGATTAAAAACTCAGCATGCTCAACGTGTTGTTGATAATACCCCTAACCATGCGGGTTGTTCATGGACCTCTTTAAAAGACAGTTACAGAGCAGCAAATAAGTGCCAGCCGCTGTGCTCCACTCTGCTGATACCAAGAGGAACTGCTTTGCCTTGACAGGGACATAAACAATTCAATACATGGTGTAAGCTAACATATTGATTTTGGTAAGGCACTAAATGTTATTTTAGCTTAGATGGATGAGTGAGTCTGGTCAAGCAGATTAGCTGCTTCTGTTGCTTTAGCAGCCTATGTAACAAGTCTAGGAGTAAGGCATGCATGGCCAAAATGCATTTCTCCTGTTCATTAATATGTAGAAATCATGATGGATTTATTTATATGCAGCCACAAAATTAAGACAAAGTATAATAATTGTGTTTTCAAGATCTTGGGCATCAGCTAGCAGAAGTTAATGAATCAAAAAAATGGGGACAAGAGATGGCCTATGCAACTGCAGTCATCTTATTGGCTTCTGACTCTCCAGATCATAAAGAGGGAGAGGAAAACCAGAAACAGCCTGAAAGATTCACATAGTTGAGAAGGCCTGAACTGGCAGTCTAGGGAAAAAAGGTAGGTAGAGATGTTAGAGGGCACAAAACTACGGTAGTCAAAATACTGTGCTGATGGGAAGAGATTCTCATCTACTCACAAAAGTATTAAACAGAGCATGTGTGTGGAGAAGATACTCTGGGCTCAGGATAGAACCATCCGCAAGACTCAGAGGCCAGTAGCACATCCTATCTCCATACTCCATATCAGGACATTTTGTAATTCATATGTGACTGATATTCAAAAAAAAAATCTTGATTCAGTGGTAAGACATAATTAGCCTAAAAACAGTCACTACTTTTTTATGTCCCACATTTTAAAAGCAGGAACTCAAAGGAGCAAACAAATTTATTTAGTAGCTTAACTAAGTGGCATATGTTAACTCAGTAATATTTATAGGTTTACTCTAAAACCAGTACATCATAAAGTAAACTTTAATCATTTGACATATAGTGACATTGATAAAAGCATTAGAAATACAAATATCTGAGTCATAACGAAGGCAATAATCAATCCACTTATATGAGCACACAGCACAAATGCAACAACAGTGAAAACACTAAAATATTGATTACTGCTAGGTTTTATATGCTTTGAAGCTGAACAAGAGACTGGACAAATGAGGTATCTTTATTAGAAATGCTAAAACAACTGGGAATGGTGGCTTAAAATAACAACACTTTGGAGGCAGAGGCAAATGGGTTTCTGTGGTTTTTGAGCAGGGACTATTATAAGAAACAGCAACCCATATGCTACAAATGTATTTTCATCTATAGCCTTAGTATGCTATGCTCAGGTCTCTATAGCACAAGGAACGTGAACATGACCCGGGTGCCTAAGGGAAAGCTGGTCAAGACTGGAAAGACATGAACGCAGTCATCGGAGTGGAAAAGCCACAGGGCTGAACAAGACCATCACAGGAGATTTCTTCTTGTAAGTAATGTAGAGAAGAAAATGGCAGCAGAGTAGTATTTTTTAAAGATCAGAAAAACTAAACCCTGTACATGGTATATTTAAGAAGATGGGGGTTTTTTCTTTTCTTTTTAAAGGAATGTAAACAAGCTTAAAAATGTTTCTTGTAACTAAAGTGAACACAAGAACTAATTATAATAACCTGTCAAGTACCTACCTGAGTATAATGGCCACAAGTTTTAGAACAGGTCATATTATCAAAATTATAATGTTCACTTTCATTATACCAAAAAGAAATAGCTTGTTGTGGTGTACTTTGTATTTCACCTAAATATATATTTTCTCCCAAGAAGTCATGGCCCTCAATGCATGAATATCGTTTTTTAGTACAGGGGTTATGGGAAAATTTGCACTGTTGACTCCATGATTTGGCCTGTCTTGCTAACTCTTTGTCCCAATTCTGAAAAGAGAGTGAAAAAAATTTAAATTGATTAGTACATATTTGTTTACAATGAAATCATTCTAATAATAAATGTAATAAATTAAATTTCAGTTAATTTTAGCTCTTTAGTAAAGACATCATTTTCTTTCTTTTTTTTTTTAAAGTATTTGTTGTTTTAGGTTTTTTTTTTTTTATTACTAAAGTCAAATGCCTGAAATAAACCACTTAAAGGAGAAATTACTTGGAGGGTTTAGGATATATGTTCAGTTGGTGCCATATTTCCAGGCCTATCTGGAGGCAAATGTCAGGAGATTTTTCATGGTGAACAGGAAGCGATGAACACAGGAAGTAGCCAGGGCAAGGCTCAGGGGCCCTCCCCAACCTGGCTTCTGTAAAGACCAACAATGGTCCTCTAAATTGTTACTTGTCCTGGGAAAACAGAGCAGCTGTAGTACTAACGTCAGAGGCCTCAGCTCAACTTCTCTTTGCAACAGTTTTTTCTTGCTATTTTTATCATGAATAACCCCTTAAGTCAAGTTGATATAAGCTAGTGTTATCCAAAGTGGGGAACATTAAATGATGAAATGCATTCATCAGATTGCTTGTGGCAAATGTGTAAGACATTTTCTGAATTAATGATTGATGTAAGAGTACCCAGGTGACCAGGGACAGTGCCACCCCTGGGCAAAGGGTCCTGGGTGGTGCAAGAAACTGTGCACTCCATAGGAAGAAAAAAAAAAAAAAAACCAGGGCGTGGCATTTCTTTATGGCTTGTGCGTCAGTTTCTGCCTAGGGATTCTTGCCTTGAGTCCCTGCCCTGACATCACCTCACTAAGAGTCTAAGGTATATGGGAAAATAAATCCTTTCCTTCTCAAGTTACTTTTGGTGATGGTGTTTATTCAAGCAACAAAAAACCAAATTAAGACACCAGGCATCACCATGTACTTTAACTACTCAGGGGTTTTCTTCCTCGTGTCCATCACTGTCTTCTGGCTAGTTGGATTGACACCTGTTATCTCTGCCTCCATTGCTCCCTACATCGATATCCTGGGCTCCGTGTTGAATGGCTACATCCTGTGGCTGCACTCTGCATACAGAAATTGGGTGAGCTGGGCCAGGGGCAGCTCTGTGACTCCAGTTTCAAACACCCAAACTGCTGAGCCTCCTCGTTCCAAACCTCTCCCTTTCCCAATAAACCCCACTTGTGTTTGCTGAGTTGTGTGGTTCCTGTTTCATTGCCCATAGCAGCAATCACCACCACCCTGTATCTCCATTATTCCTATCAACAACCCATCTCAGGAACCTCTTTTCATGGTCTCTGACGTCCCTCTTAGTCAAAGTCGACAACGGAACTAGACCACATTTCAGTGGTCCTTGATGCCCTTCAAACGTTGTTAATAACCTTTGTTTCTATAGTTCTCCGAAACTGTCATGACTTGAGCACGGGATGGCTGTCTGGGTCTGGGACAGAAACACTATGCCTATCTTAATTAACTGGGGAAATCACATGAAATGCAGCTAAAAGAAAAAGAACAGACAATTGATTTAAGTGCCCTCTCCCGCAGAAACTCGTTGTTCTCGACAGCACCCTGGTCCCTTTCTCACCAGGACATTCATATCGGCTGCTGGGGGGTTGACTTTGCTTCGAAATTCATTATGGGAGTCGACACACTCCTGGATAAATTTTGGGTCATAGATAGTTGGCAGTTTAGGAATATTGAGCAATGCCTTGGAAAGTTTGCTGGCTACCAAACATAGACCCAATGTCCAGAAACAATTAAGTTTCTTCATAGGGACTATGGAAGGAAGTAGGGTACAGCCCGGGTGAATGTACCGGAACAGGGATTACACTCTACCCAGACTTCTGCCTTCTGATTAGGCTGGCAGTCTGTGTAGTGAGCTGCAGTCTGCATCCCTGCCTTCAGTGTTGCCATGGAGACTGATGCACAGCCAGAGTTCTGAGCTACAGGAGTTCTGAAAGCCTGAGGCGCCCTCTAGTGGGCTCAGAAAGCAACCGAAGTGCTTCTGAAGAGTGAATCATCTCACAGATTGTGAGATGTAAGGATTGTGAAAAGGGATGTTATAGGGAGCCGACAAAGGGCCAGGCCCATGCAAACAAAGTATTTTGACTTTGCTGCACAAATTGGAGCAGGCAGACACTGGAATTAGGAGACAGGCAGGAGCCGGCAACTTCATTTGGCTTAATGCTTTCAATCTATTTGTCAGTTAGTTATTCACCAGTTAGTTATTCTGGTTTATTAACCAGAAGTTTTCTGTTACAGCTAATGATATTTTTCAGCATTTCTAGGTGAACACCTGCAATACTTAGGTTGTTTAATTTAATTTAATATTTAGGTCATTTACAGTACCATTTAATTACAAGTAAATACACATTTATATTAGCTACCATTTTTTTCTTTATCAGAAAGCAGAAATTAAGTTATTAGATGAAAATAGAAACAAAACAAACAGCAGCAACAACAGCAAATCTGAGGATCCTAACAGAATTTCTACGGAGCGAGAGAGGACATGTTTCTGACTCATCATTTGCCGATGAGGGCTTCCTGTGTGTGTACTGCTGGGGTGTCACACAGAGACAAGCTGAGTTCCTCACATCCCACACGCCAATACAAATAGAGGTATATGTGTTCTTATATGCACATATCCACGTCCCTGTCATTATATAGCCCGACTATGGCTGACACACTGGTCCCCTATGTGAACACCTTCTTGGATCAGCAACATCCATCAGCTTGGCAAGGATGTTTGCTCCTTGTCTCCCCTGACCTTCCTGCAGTTCCTATGGGAGGCGCCCATATTTCCTCATTAGATCAATTGCTATTCATTGAATCATTTCTGTAGCACCTGTCTATCATGCTATGCCCTTTCTATACACAGTGGCTTTACTTCCTTGCTTTTTCTCTAGAACCTGAAACAGGCTCTTTAAGCCTTCAACGAAAGCTTGTTGACCGAATAAAGAAACGAAAATGCTATTTTTGTTGTTGATGTTGTTGTATGTGTTTTCATTTTCCTGACCACAGATATTGTATCTCATTTGCATTTGTATGCAGAAAGGACCTAATAAACATCCCTGATTCTGTCATCGATCTAAGAGGCAGGGAACCTTAGGCTTACATATCTTACTTTTTCTAATCGTTGCCACATTAGCAGATTGTGTGTTGTGTGTGTTGACTGCATAAAAGACTGAGTGAATATACAAATAAACATTAAAGGAAAATATGAACATCAAATGAAAATTTTGTAGGGGCTGGAGACAGCCCAGGGGTAAGACTGCATCCATGTTTTGCAATCATGAGGATATGAGTTTAAATCCCCAGCACCCATGTAAAATTTCAGGCTTAGATATATGTGTCTGTAACACAGCACTGGGGGAGTGGAGGAGACAGAGGGATCCTAATGAGTTTTGTGTTTGTTTTTGCTTCTGTGACAGGGTCTCATGTAGCTCAGGCTGTTCTTCAACTCACTATGTAGGTGAGAATGATCTTAGACTTTGGATCTCCCTGCCTCCACCTCCTGAGTGCTGGGACTAGCCATCTTGATAGGTTTGTGAAGTGTTGGGGATGAAATCCCACCTCAAGCATGCCAGGCACCTCCACTCAAAATAGATTTGAAAATTTAATTTAGTATTTTTTATGTGCATATTTAAACATCCATATTTTGAAGTAAACTAATTTTCAAAAGACATTGTAGTTAGCAAAGAAATAAATACATACAGCTTTAAGCTTCATAAGACTTGTAGATCTGACATTGCAATGGTGAAGATACTACCTATTATCAGAGTCGAATTTTACAAATATGTCAGCTAGCCGAGTACTTAATGGCCAGATCTTTGCAGCCCAATCTGAAATAGCTAAGATTTGGGTGGGAAAATTGGTGGTAGGCTGGGATACAGGATGCTTTTATGTAGTTTTCTCCTGAAATATCAACCTGGACTCTGAACATATGGTAGTTGCTCTGTGAAATAATGTTCAAAGGAATTCCATGAAATGAATGATCCACCAATGGCCATGATCCTTGCCGGGTTTTGGCGCTCTCCTGATGCAGGAGGAGCTTGCTGTGAGTCCCTCCCTGCTCCTACTCCAGTTCAGGGTTTAGGACAGAGCTGTATTCTCAGGCCTTGGAGCTACAGCCCAAAGCAGAGGCAGTTTAAACTTGGGGTGAGTTTGTTAGCAGGGTGGAGGTTGGGAGGCACAGCATGGGGCCAGAGGTGGCCTGGAAGGAATTAAGGATTTAGCATTGAAGCCCCTTTTATTACTAGGGAATTTGGAGAGGGCAAACGGGAGGCCTAGTGAACGGCTCCTGGTTGCCTAGCAACTTGAGACGCTGGTCTAAACTGTTGTGTTTGCCAGGAACTGCCTCTTGGGCCTGCCTGGGGGAAGCTCCCAGAAAGAAGTTCTTGGTGGAATCACCCTGGTTTATACCCCTTCCAGCCCTTCTATCCAGGGGTTTGACCTAACATTGTTAGCTCAACTCAACTTGGCTTGCTCTGTGTCCCTTAGCCTGCCTTTGGGTCCTGCATGAGGGAGACAGCCGATTCCTCTTGGAGCGCTCCAGGTACTGTGAAGTAAGATTTTAATTGATCTAGGAACAACTTTTTGTTCAATTTCAGATCTTGGGTTGGCTATCACCATGGATTCAAGGTGGACTTGGTCCATGCACCTCATGCGACTTAAGTACTGAACTGGATTTATTAATCTTTTTCCCCTCCTTTGTTTATAAACCAGATTAAATTCCCTTTATCTCTTCCATTCACTTGCGTTCTGACTTTTAAAAATTTGCATGAACAATTTAAAAGCCAGGGATAATTTTACCAGGAGAGAAACATCGGTAACTAGAGGTGGAAATGGTCGCTGTCAAGAAACAAGCAAGGGGTTAGGCTATGCTCTTGGTTAAGAGCACCAAAGACATTAGTCAGCAATGTGCCCAAGGCAAGCAATAGCATCTCATACTCAGAGCGGCGTGAGTGGGCCATCTCTCACTTGCTTTTTAAAATTCTGAGTTTCAGCACAAGTGTAGGCATTGGCAATGCAATCCAAAGCTCAGGCTAAAGCCATTTACATGAAATATCTATTCTTGAATCACCAAGCTTAGGTTTTAGGTGTCCTTTAGTACTCACAACAGATTGCTTCCTGTGGACTGTTTTCTGGATCAGCAAGGGCAGGATATTGGAAAGAGAGCTAGAGCCTGGGTATGAATTAAGGCTCTGTAGTAAGTGGCATGAGGTTAAGCCAAGTGAAATTCCCTTTTCTGGGTTTCAGCTTGCTCAGATTCTTGGGAGATTTTTAGCATTTGAAGCCCTGTCCAAATCTGTAGATTCTCTAATTGGGGTGCTGGTAGGCAGATACTTTCCTAGACTCCAGTGTGCCCCTTATAGCAACATTTCCCATCCAACACTCTAATTTGCATCTGGATGAATCACTTTTTAAAAACGAATCACTTTTATGCTGTGTCATTCTAAGTTACCTAATTGACTGAATTCTCTCATTTCCTAGGCTTTCTGCTGAGTCCTGAGATACAAAGTGAGCAGCCTCAGTAGTCATCGCTTTCATAAGCTTGCAGATTTACTGAAGAGTCCTTATTGCTATTCAATACCACAAGCACCTTACCCCATTGCTTCCAGAAAGACTTGGATGTTGGTATTGTGATTGTCATAGATGTAGAGAAATGAATCCAGCGTGGGTCATTTAGGATGAATCAATGTGTCTATTGGATACATATTTACAAAGACTGTATGTTGTATGAAGGGCAGTAAATGCCACCCTTTGTGGTTGTGATCGTACATAGGAATTCAGAGAGTTAGTGACACAGGAGAAGCTCAGGGGACAGTAGGAGTAGGGCATTCTGGGCTTTTCATTTTCTCTTCTTATTAATTGCAAACCAAGTCTAGTGACTTGGAATGTCACAGTTATTTGCAATGGAGACAATAGTTACTAAGGTCTGAAGTTGGGAGGCTGGTAATGTGTCACAGAAAGCCACACATTGGCTGCTCCTTGTCTCCATTTTAACTTTGGCTTGTGTATTAGTTTCTGTTCCATTGCTGTGAAGGGACACCATGACTGAGGCAAGGTATGAAAGAAAGCAACCTGGGGATTGATTGCTGGCTGTTTCAGAGGGTTGAGTTCATGACCATCCTGGCAGACAGCCTGGCAGCAAGTAAGCAGGCAAGCAGGCAGGGCACCCTAGGTGAGAGATTACATCAGGCTGGGTCTGATGTGGGCTTCTGAAACCTCAAAGCTCACCTCCACAGACACACCTCCTCCACCAAGGCCATGCCTCCTAGTCCTTCCTAAACAGTCCACCACCTGGGGACCACACATTCAGACATGTGAGCCTATGGGAAGAGTTGTAATCAAAATCAGCACATCCTGTCAGTTGGCAGTCTTGGTAAATCCAGCTTTATCTGGGATTAATGCATGGCCTGGGATTTTAGGCAGGTGGCAGAAGCGCTGGACTACAAGCCCACCCTACAAATGTGTGGCTCAGAACAGAAGAAATTGCTTTGTTTGAAAGGTCACTGAAAAGAGAGCCATCTGAAGTGTCAGGTACAAAAGAATTGGGGTTAGATTACACTGGACATGAAATAATAGTAATAGTTGCCATCTACTAAATGTTACCTCATTCCATCAAGATGAGAAAGGTGCTAATATTCAACTTATTGACTGAGATATTAAATTCTTTCTTCATCTTCAGTCATGGGAACTCAGGAAAAATCAGAACTTTAGTGTAAGTTTATCTGACTGAAGTAGATACTGCCATCCTGTCTTTTTAGAAAGCAAATTAACAACCCTGAAAACAACCCTTAGTTTGATACAAGAAAATAGGAAAGAATGTCTCATGTGGGGAGGGTCAGTCTCTGTGACCTTCGGGGCATCTGAGTGACAAGCTGGAGGAGGCAAGAAGCCAGTTCTGTTCAACAGACTCTGCAGCCAGGGTGGGTTCAAACCTCGGGAGGCTAGCCCTGTGCGGCTCATTTTTGGCATATTTAAGCTGAACACGTTTTGATGAAAATTATTATGGTCATATAGAATTCTAAGGACAGATAGATTCATTTGATTTTTATTTTGTACCTCCCCACAAGTTGAATATATTTAACAAGCAATATTTTCCTTTATGTCATTACAAAATACTAATTATAAAGGTGGGTAGAAATATTGCCATTAGTCTCCCCTGACAGTATCAAAATCCATAATGGCTTGAGAGAAGAGTATAAAGAAGAATAAGGTCACGTGGTCATATAGACAGGCAGATTATTAGTGTCCCAATTTTTCTCTAAAACCTTAGAGCAAACCGGGTGCCTCTCGATAATATAAATGTATTATAGTATAGTCTTGGAGATCAGTGAGCTAATTTTGTCTGGAATCAAGCATCCAGCAGGATTGTTTCTTTTCAGAGGTTTCAGAGGAAGAGTCAGTCTTTGTCCCTAGAAAGTTCACAGTTTTTCCCCGTCTTTGATGGCAGCTGCATAGCATCTGTCAAGCTTACGATTCCATACTCCTGCCTCCTCTGCCTCTCTCACCCAGATGCTCCTGCATCCCTCTTTGTGTGTGTCCAGAAAGCCCGGCAGGTTAACTCTCCCATATCAAAAATTTAATGTAACCCAGCTGAACTATCCCTGTGTCATGAAAGGGATGTATTCTCAGAGCATAGAGGTTAAAATATAGACCTCTTTGGGCATACACCATGCAGACTTCTATGAAGCATGATACATTTGCATCACCCAAATGATTTTAGTTTATAAAACCAATAATGACTTATTATTAACCATACCATTAAACACAATGAATTCTTTCTGTGGAAAAGTACTGTGCATGGACTATTTAAAAGAAAAATGACCATTTTGCACTTATTTTTATCTTTTTAAAAGTACAGCATATTGCGTGAGAAATACATACATTTGAATGGATTTAGAGATCAAAGGAGTGGCTGCGTCTAGAAGCCAACCTCGCTTATTTTCTCGACGAAAGAATTCACTGCAAGTATGTACGCCCTTGACTTTTCCTCCTACAGAGTGGTTCCTTCAGTTGCTTCCACCATCCTTTACTCTTGTTTTTATGACTGCCTACGTTCACAAATATTTAGGATCAGCGTTTCCTAGGTCTGGGGAAGTCTGGGGCCACCAAAATTGAAGATGATCATTATTTTAAAATTTACCACTGATTGATTTTATTTTATTTAAGATTGTTGATTTATTATTGTTATTTAAACAATCCCCATGTGGGGCTGGAGAGATGGCTCAGAGATTAAGAGCACTGGCCACTTTTCCAGAGGACCCAAGTTCAATTCCCAGCACCCACACGGCAGCTCACAACTGTCTGTAACTCCAGTTCCAGGGGACCTGACACCCTCACACAGACATACACTTAGACATAAGACCAACACACATAAAATAGATAAAAATGAGTAAAAAAAATACCCGCATATTTCCAGAAGATTTAAGACAAAGAAGGAGACCTAAAGGAAGAAGAAAATATCATTTCCTTTACAATGTTGCCCCTATCACATGCTTGTAGATGTATGTTTAATTGGCACATCCTTTTAAGCTGCATATTTAATCACACACCCTATAAGGATTTTATATATTAAATGCTCTAAAAGTAGTTTTAGTGGTCATATAAAGTGTAATTTATATGCAAAACAAGATTTAAAAGATCATACACCAAACTTTCTCTAACTCACATACTGTTTATTGAAAATGGAACTTCAGTGACTGAATCCCTTGAGCTTCATTTATTTTGTACTCATACCGTGCTTAGTATAATTCTAGGTATAAACCCCAACAATAAATGGAATGAAGACTTAGCTCAAGGAACCTCTAGTCTTACAGATGAGGTTCATAATCCACCAGTGTTAAATTCAACCCAGGGAAACGTTTAAGGGAAGGCCATAGACCTTCAGAGCAGAGAAGATGGAGTAGAGCTGATACAAAAGGCTTTACTGGGAATGGCACCTCACTCTCTGAGTGTTCAGGACACTGAAAGGCAGGTGTTCAGGACAGACTCAAGCCACAGAGCTACGAGTCATAAAACAGTCACCAACTTGCTATTTTTTTTTGTATTTAAATTATGTTAGTTATGTGTGTATTGGGAATCAGGAAAGGCATCGGGATGTGTATTGTGAGGAACCTCCTTCTCAACTCTCAGGACACCACTGTTTTATATTTCATGGAGTAAATACAGTCTCTCTCGCTGGTATTGTATAGTGATTTTTATTGACTGGTTCATTGAAAGTTTCATATATGAGTACTAATATCATTTTCTGCTCCCTCACTTCCTTCCAGGTCTCCCTGCTCCCCAAACTCCCTCCTACAATGCCTCTTACTCCTTATTATATATGTATATAATTCATAAATGCAACCTACTGAGTCTCTTTAGTGTTGTTCATTTGCATATGTACTTAGGGCGGATTAATTGGCATTGGTTAACTCATCAGGGGCTTTTCCCTGGGGAAGAGGGGTCTCTCTCTCCCTCTCTCCTTCTCTCTCTCTGTTTCTCTCAGCAGCCATGAAATGCCTGCAGCTCTTTATGTAGGGGTGGGGCCTCGAAAGGTCTCCTCCATCCACAATGGCAAATCAACTGGTGTTATTTTTCAGGCCTTGTTTAGACAACCATGTCATTGAAGTTTCATGGTACAGTTTCCCTGTCATGTATACACCTAACACTCAATCCTCTGGCTGTCACAATCTTCCTGCCTGCTTCACACTGTCATTGTTTGCTGAGTGCTGGGAAGGTGGACATTGTCTGTCTTAGTTATCATTTACCATTTTCTCTGTGTCTTAATTACAACAGGGAGAGTCTTAGGAGACACATTTTTTTTTTTTGTGGTGTTCATGGAAAAAAATTATAGTTGTCTTTATTGTATCCAGTCATAATGTAGCTTTTAATGTTTAATGCACTCTGATTCTTTCTCTATTTTTTTTTAATTAAAGCAAGGATGGACTTCCAGATCATGGGAAATCCAGAATCCCTGTCTACCTATGTGAGCTACATTTCTTCATATTTTATTGCTAAACTGGCACATACTTCTGATACATTGAGTAGTTAAAAATTATATATGTATATATTTTATTGTGAACTGCAGAAAAGCCTGCATAAAGAAAGTCTAAATATTATTACTCCAGAATTAAAAATCCCCCTTTAATAGGATAGTAAGGATATGGATAATATTCTGTTGTTCTTATTTAATACTGTTCTCACATTTTCCTGAAAAAATAAGTATTTCTTAGAAAACTCATTTTTGTCCTTTTAAGATTCAAGTTTAATTAAAAAGGATATATAACATCACAAAACTATTAATTTAAGACTTCTGTAAGATATTTTGATACCTATATAAATCTGGGTAAATATCCCTACTCTAAATGCATATATTAAAGAAATGTATGGCATTCTTCATCTTGTGATTGGCATTGTAAAAGTTATCTAATAGTAACTATACCTGTATCTTAAGCTGTTATGTTGAAGAACATGAGAATCTAACTAATATTATTAAAGATTTCTTTTTTATTTAGACTGTCATATATTATAGTTTCACATATTTGAAAAGTATAAAATACTTTAAAGAATATTTTTCATATAGTTTAGAAATGCAAGACACGCAATTTACTAGGTTGAGCCATACCACATTAATATGTTTGGAGACTAAAAATACGCAAAGTCAATAATTTCATGTTTCTACGTGATAAATGCCATTTCTTGTCAGCTAGACAAGAAATGTAAGTTATGTTTAAGTAAAAAGTTATGCTTACATACGGAACACACAATATAGATTATGTAGCAAGGGGTGTGTCAAGCAGAGTGTAGCAAGCTGTCTTCCTGTTGTGTGTTAATACATGTCTATAGCTGATGTGAAAATTTACTAAGTGTTTACTATACATTTTTATTTGCTCATTATAAAAATTAAGTGCGTGTTGTTCCTTAAAGCTTTTGTTAAGTAAAATATATAGAAAGAAATTTACACAGCTACTAAAATGTTTAAGCTTTTATAAAGTTCTTTATCCGATTTGCATGCATAGAATGCTTTATTTGTTCATTTGTTTGTTTTTCTCTAAATATCTGTAATCAGCCTATGGCTGTAGTGATTAATCAGTTCCAATGTGAATGATGGTTGATATTTTTATTTGCTACAAAATATTAGGAGTGGTTTCTTGTCAAACCAATTATGAATGATTAAAATAATATTGCTGAATATTCTCTTGTGTCACTGTACTGGCTGGTTTTGTGTGTCAACCTGACACAAGCTAGAGTCATTAGAGAGGAAGGAGCCTCAGTTGAGGAAATGCCTTCATGAGACCCAGCTGTAAGGCATTTTCTCAATTAGTGATCAATGGAGGAGGCCCAGCCCATTGTGAGTGGTGCCATCCCTGGGCTCGTGGTTCTGGGTTCTATAAGAAAGCAGGCTGGGCAAGCCATGGGAAGCAAGCCAGTAAGCGGCTCCACTCCGTGGCCTCTGCATCAGCTCCTGCCTCCAGGATCCTGTCCTATTTGAGTTTCTGTCCTAACTTCCTTCAGTGATGAACAGCAATGTGGAAGTATAAGCCAACCCCCCCCCCCCCCGCTTATTGGTCATGGATTTTCATCATAACAATAAAAAACCCGTAAGACAACTACCCACTACTTGACAGCTACATATGTGGTGTATTTCATTTGATTTGCATTATTAACATTTCTCCCTCCCCCTTTTAAGTCTCAGAAGTCAAGAATTCTTGACTCACAGTATTTGCTGATTTCCATGCCAACAATGCAATGCTGGCTGACCTCAAGAGAACAGAGTTGGATAGAGACAGGTTCAGTTATAATATGACAAGGATGGATACAGTTCTGATTAATCTGCTCTGTGCTCACTTCATCAACACACAAGATACGCTAGGGCATGTACAGCAGCAGAGCAGGAGAGCTATTAGGACAATGGACTTGGAGGACTTATTGCCTGTGTTCCTTTCTAGTGTGTCTGTATATGAGTGTGTCATCCCTCTGTGCTTCAGGGAGCCCTTCTCTTCCTGCTGAGTGGAGTGCTGAGGACAAGTGGCTGCCACACCTACCCCTACCCAGCCTTTATGTGGCTTCAGGAGATCAGAACTACTGTCCTGCCTGGAAAATACCTTGGTTGTTGAGGCAACTCTTCAGCCCCACCCTTGTTCTGAATATAATTTACTTAATTATAATTTTGTACATTTTTATTATTATATTTTATTAGTAATTATATTAAAATAGCAACTTTAATAATCAATTTGAAAAGTTACTGAACATTTATTAAAAAAAATACTACACTTCTTGCTGTGCAGTGGTAGCCAACCATTAACTTGTGACTTTGTATAGATACTGTACTTGATAATGATTTTTCTGTTATTACAGACTCACTAAAAATTTTATGAGCTGTATAGATTATTTCTTTTAGGGTCCCACCACTTGATTTGGGAAGCCTTGTTGACTCTGATGAGGAGGTAATTGCAACTTTGTTTAATATAATAAACATTTGACTGAAGTAGCACCTATGAGCATGTACCATCATTCCATTTTATTTTTTAGGATGATTTTTCACAAGGGCCACATAGTACAATGCACATTCATCTCAAGCCACCACAGTTACCTTCTGCTCTGGGTTGGGTTGTGCCATGTCAAAGACCTTATACTCAGCATCATCCAAACGAAGTGGTCAGTATGTATTTCAGTGTTACAGTATACATCACTTGGGCTGACCTTGGCTTAACCTTCTTGCTCATTGATCTATGCTCTGCTCGGTTTACAGTTTGCATATAAAAATTTTCAACAATGTTACTGTTGCAATAATTTTCAAATACTGAAATTGCACTTTAACCACTTCCTGTAAAATTGGCAAATTATAGGAGTATCTAAGTATGGATTCCAGGAATTAAAAAAAATTGTGAAATATCGAATGGACTTTGGGAGCACATTCTCCATGTAGGGTTACTCCCTCAGCCTGGATACACGGGGGAGGGCCTAGACCCTGCTCCAAATGATGTGACAGACTTTGATGATTCCCATGGAAGGCCTCACCCTCCCTGGGCAGTGGATGGGGGTTTGGTGGAGGACATGGGAGGATGTGAGGGAGAGGAAACTGGGGTAGATGTATAAAATAAGATTGTTTCTAATTTAAATAAAAAATTGTAAAAATTGTGAAATATGAGATCATATCTTATTACTTGAATGACAGAAGACTGATTTCTTAGAAATTAGTTCAGTTCAGACTTTAAGCTCCTAAAATACTATGGAGTAGGAAAATAATTCAACTTAATCAACAATATAATAATAATAATAATAATAATAATAATAATAATAATAACAATAATAATACCACCTTAGTCTGTATGTTACAATAGCTATTGCTCTAAATTTGGCCTCAGCTCTATTTCCAAGGGATGGATATATATATATACATATATATATATATGTATGTATATATATATTTTCAGTGTCTGTGCCTATTTAAGTCAAAACGAAATGTCCACTGACTATTATCTCTTGCTACCATGAAAATTTGACTAGCAACCACAAAATACTAGGGGGTAAAATATGGTAATATTCTAGAAACGATGACCAGTGCTTCTTAGTGTTGTTAATCTTTAATTCCTAGGACTGTTTTCATAAGAAAAGAAAATATTATAAAAAAAGAGTTTTCTGGTGGACAACATACTTTCTGTTTTGCCTCTAGGTACAGGACATAATACCCGAGGATCTGCCAGCACCAACAGGCAAATACAAGCTAAAATATCAGCAATATGCAGCTGAAATGAAAGAGGGATATAAACAGCACGTTCAGAGAACGGCAGAAAAGGCAAAAGCAACTAGCATGCAAGACACTTCAAGAAACAAGGTGAATGCCAAGGTAACATGTCATCCTTGGTAAAGTACTCATGCTATTTAAAGTGAGCAAAGCCCTTGTCTTAGAAATATCGTTTCTGCTGTTAATTTAGGAAGTTTAATACTGAACACTTGTTTCAATAAAGTCTTTTATGTATATCAACTGGGTTAATCTTCAAGACAGAGTCCTACTGTCAGCATCTTTCAAAAAGAAAACATTATTCTGATACTCTTATATATGTGACTTCCCAAGGAAAATGGACAGTGAGAAATCCCAGAGCAGAAACACCTCAAGTCTGTCAGGTTCTTTACTAGTTGCTTTGTTAGTTAAGGGATGATATAGCTCACATTTATAGAAAGTTTTGGTGGTTATCTTTTTTGAAACTCCCAAGACTCCTGAGTACTTTCAAATATACTTTGTGTAGAATAAAGATAGCTCTGCGTGCCTCCAAGGAATTATCCAACGGGGGCAGGGAGGGAATGAAGGAAGGAAAACACTTGGACACACAGGAACGCTAGGATTGGGTAGACTGGGCTCTCGGTGAAAAAAAACCACAGCACGGTTATTCACCCCCAATAAACAAGGAGCCGCGGTTATAATATTCTGCTCAACGAGGAGTCAGGTTTAGCTAATCTATAGGGCAGTCTCTGTAGGGGAACATTCCACAGGCTGTAAACATCAGCAGGGTGAAAGCTATGGTGGACATTTTCTGCACGCCTAATCCACATTCCCACTTGGACCAGGAGGGAAGGTTTTGCCATTTCCCTGAAGGCTTTGAGACCTCCCATGGGGTGAGGCATTAGTCCTTGACATGGCTCTCCCCATGTCAACAACACACATTCTCTCAGGACTTGATGCCACACCGGACTTCCTCCCCTTGCCACAGGACATATCCACATTTATTAATATTTTAAGAGTGCAGTTTGTTCAATGGTACCTATGCCCATTTATGTCCTTTACTTAATGTTTACTGTAAATCAGGTACTTTATAAACATTAAGTGTTTACCATCTCATTTATCATTTTTTGGGTATAACATCCACAGTTATTCCCAGTTTATGACTAAAATGAAAGGTCATCTAGCTGAACAAATGGAAGATCTGCATTCCCAGACAGGCTTTTACTCTTAATTCTCAGACAGCCTTCGCTCCGTTTACTGGTTATCTCCTCCCTGGTTTTGTTAAAAGCAGGCATTGTGAATATATGCCTGATGGTTCATCCCTTGTCTTCATTGTGTAGTGTGAGCATGTGGAAGAAGCCAGTGTGGATGACGACCTTGTGGCTTTGGATAGGAAAGCCCTGCTACAGCAAGGTTATGCAGATAACCCTTACCCTGTAAGGAACAGCGCAAGGCAATCCGACGCGGTAAGCCATCAGCGGTGTCGTATATTTGATGTCATTATGGTATTTACCCTCCCAAGATTTTACAGTTATAGATGAATAAAGAGGTACAAATGTGAGGTTTTTTTTTTAAATAAACAATTTACTTGTGTTAGGTATATTTCCTGAGGAAAATTTGTTTTGACTCATTGCATTTATGAAAATTTAGCTTACTCTGCTCTGTTGTAATTTAAGAAAAGCAGTGAGAGGAAGATGCCACGTGGCATAGTTCAAGCAGAGGTTTTGTTTTAAAATTAGGGAAAAAGATCATAAAAAAGGGAGAGGGGGGCGGGGAGACAGGCCTCTAGGGACAGGAGCAGCAGGAGAGAGGAAAGAGGAAAGAAAGGGAAAGGTAGTGGAGAGGAGAGAGAGTGAAAGAGAGGGAGAGGGAGGAACAGATGGACACAGAGAGGGAGAAGAAGAGAGAGAGAAGGATGGGAGACGGGCAGATACCCTTGCTGCTCTGGGTCTATGAGGACAGTAGTCATGGCATGTCCAGAAGAAAGCATTTATGAAGGCAGTTTAATACAATCAGTAATCAAGAACAAATTATCTTTATTAATTCATTATGTACAGGGGAGAGATTGTTATTCTTTCTATGGTATGAGGTTTTTTTTGCATTAATTAATTAGTTAACACATTTGAGTGTGTATGTATGTGGGCATGCCGATGCCACAGTTCACATCTGGGCATCAGGGACAACTTGCAGAAATCATGTTTCTCCTTTCATCTGTGGGTCCAGGGCTTGAACTCAGATCATCAGGCTTGACAGCAGGTGCCTTTGCCTGCTGAGCCACCTCATTGGGCGCCCTTTAGGATTTTGATGACAACTGAATGATTTCAGTTCTGTTTGGCTTCTCTATTGTGATATGTTTGGATGAAATTCTCTCTCTCTGTGTGGGATGTGTGTGTGTTTGTGTGTGTGTGTGTGTGTGTGTAAACAGAGTTCTTAATTGTTCTAGAAAATAAAAAGCCAGAGTCAGACACAGAGGGAAATGCCGAGAGCAAGATATCACCACATGTGTGTATGTGTGTGTTCGTGCTGAGGATCGATCTCCCAACAGGAAGTTGAGATGAGGTTTGCAGGACATGTCACCAGGGGTTTCCTCCTTTGTTCTGACTGTGAAATGCAAGGCATCTTGTTGGAAATGGATCATGGCATCTACTGAAATTTTAGTGTATACATTTTTTAGGGAATGGTAACTTAAGATTTAATGGGGCTGGAGAGATGGCACAGAGGTTAACACTGGCTCCTGAGCCAGTTCCTGAGCTCAGTTCCCAGCAACCACACATTGGCTCACAACCATCTACAATGGGACCCAATGCCCTCTTCTGGCCTGCAAGTATACATACTGATAGAGCACTCATATATATAAAATAAATAAAAAAATAGGTCTAAAAAAGAACACGTCTTGAATCCCAGCATTTGGGAGCAGAGGAAAGCTGATCTCTGTGAATTCGAGGCCAGCCTGGTCTACAAAGTGAATCCTTGGACAGCCAGGTCTGTTACACAGAAAAACCAGAGTAACCCTGTCTTGTGAAACAAACAAAACAAAACAAAACTACTAACTGTAATTTAACATTAATGATAGTAATCTATACTTAATGGGACAAATCAGAACTATTTTTATAATGTGTGCTAACTGTTCTGCTTTGTGGATAATAAAGTTGTTTTTATTTTATCTTCTCAGGAAACCGTAGCTGCAGAGAAGAAGAAGCAAACGGTTGCAGAGCAAATGATGCTAGACCACTTATCCAGGTGAGGCTAGTCAGTCAATCCTAGCAGACCTCTTCTGAAACTGACTATCAAATACCTTTTTCATACAAAGTACGCATACGCTTGTCAACCAATGCGTAGCTGCTGGCAGTTCCCAAACGTTCTGTCCACGGCAGTTTTTCCATTTTAGTTACCTTTATTTATTTATTTTAAATAAATAACTCTGAGATGAGTAGGAATACTTAACATTCAGGCTGGGGAGACAGCTCAGTCTGTGAAATGTTTGCCATGTATTCATGAGGACCTGCTTTAAATCATTGGAACCACTGTGAGGAAGCCAGGCATGGTAGCGAGTGCCTGTAATTTCCATGCAGAGTGTGTGTGTGTGTGTGTGTGTGTGTGTGTGTGTGTGTGTGGTGGAGGGAGAGTGGCAGATGGGTCCTTGGCTCTTGCCCGTCAGCCAGCCTAGCTTACTTGGAGAGCTCCTGGCCGAGAGGCCTGGTCTCAAAAGAACAAGAAGGGTGGATCTTGGGGAACAAGACCAGGATTTGACCTCTGGAGTCAAGTCACATGCATACACATATGCACACACATTTGTACCACATCGTCATGTATTCACAGGCATGCAGGATCAGTGTGTGAGCCCAAGCATTTGTGCATGCAGTGTGTGAGCACGAGTGTTCGTGTGGGCACACACATACATTTAAAAATTCTACTTACTGTCTTTATTAAGTATTTTTATTTAAACTACTTAATTATATTCTGCCAACTTAATGAACATTGGGATAACATATAAATTAGAAGATAACAGTATTTTTATTTCATTCTTAGATTCCTAGAATTGCTTTCTAATGGGATGTATGCTTCTTTTGGGCCCTGCAGGATCGTTTAGAGTTACCTTCGGATTTATGTTGATTGTCACGTGATAGTAGCTTTTTGTCATGGCACCTATAGAATAACTTGCCTTTCAAAGATGTGATAAAGTATCCTGTTGAAACTAGGACTTATCCCTTGAGCCAGTTGCTATGGTTTCCAAATGGTGATGGGCATCCTATCTTTCTATTAGAAATGAATATCCCACAGAGTCACTGTGGTAACCAGGGTGACTTGTGTAGAGTTGAGAACCTTGAAAGCAATTGCCAATAATTAAAACATCCCCAAGAGAACTGTCTGGGATATACATAAAGTGATAAGTTGTAGTGTGATGGAAACACGTTTAGTTTGGTGGTTAACCACATTTGATTAGCAGAGACACCATGACAGAGAAACAGAGAGACATAGGGAGAGCATTATAACCCTTTTCTATGGATGATGAAACTGTAGCCTAGTGTTGAATGACTAGGAAGGGGCATGGGGTGTTGCTGGAGGAAGCAAGGAGTGAACTGATCTGTCTAGTACCAACCACGTAAGGCAGGCCCTCGAGCTATGCTACACTATCTCACACAAGGTTGTCTCCTGTGATAGTCATTCTCCTCCTATGAGCACAAACCGCTCCTCACCATTTAAGAATCAATTCCAATGCTTCCACAGACTCCTTCCGTGTTTAATTTATTTATTAACTAATCAATTTATTTTTTATGTGGTATATGTGTATGTGAGCATGTGGAGGCCAGAAGTAATGCTGAATGTCTTTGGTAATGGTCCTTTATCATCTTGGCCTTTTAGACAGTTTCCCACTGAACCTGGAGCTTTCCTGATTAGATGAGCGAGCTGGCCAGTGATGTCCAGGGCTTTTCTTATCTCCATCCCCTTCATCTTTGGGGTTAAAGGAGCATCCCACCATGCCCAGCTTGTATAACCTTCCAGGGATCTGAACTCAGCTACCCATGCTTGAGATGCAAGCACTTTCCTGAGTGAGACATCTCCATCTCCCCAAACTCCTATACTTTGGTGTCTCTCCATCGTGAACCCTAAAGTGCAAGACAAAATAAACCCCTTCCTCCCCAAGCTGCCTTTGTTCAGTGCTTACACAGAAACAGAAAGCAAACTACAGTAAGTCTGTTTTTTTTTTTTTTAACCAACATTCCAACATTCCTCCCTGTGTTATCAGAAAGCAGCAAAGTGCCTGCCGGGGAGTACTAGGTGAAAGACACAGAGCTCTCATTTCCCTCCGAATTTCTAGGTGTTCCTATGTTCTGTTTGGATGAAATACAAAGGACTGTATTCTCCTTTTATTTATAAGACTTTAATAATTAAATGCAACCATTTATGACAAACACTGACAACAGGACAAATTGCCATCGCGTGTTTGATATTTTCCAACTGCTCGAAAATAAGTGAGCAAACATTTTGTCCTGCTAGATACCAGGTTTTGTGTCTCCCTACATAGGGCTGTCATCAGTGATCCAGAACAAGGCTTAAACATGGAGGAACAAGAGAGTTCTCCTGTCCCTCCAGACCCAGAGGGGGTGCCAATTCGAGTTAGGAGACGAACTCTGCATGAAACAAAGTAAGGAAAAAGCTTCATGACATACTGTTAAAATGCACTTCTGTATGTTACTGAATGCATTTACATGTTTCTAAAACCATACAAAGTGAAGTAAAAGTTTTGGGATTTCAGATTTCAGTGCTGTCTCCTTAAATTTTTTATTCTACCTTCTTTGCATTCCATTTTTTTTTACATTTATAATCTAGAAGGGAAGTCACAATTTTCAGGAATATATATATATATGTGTGAGTAATATAGTAATTTAGACAGCTCTGCCTGAGGATAGTACCCTGGCTAAATCAGATTTATGTAATATATGAAGAATTAATTTACAGAGGAAAGGACCATCATTCCAGACATGCTGTGCCTTGTAACTAGTCCAATTCATTCTAGAGCCATAGGAGGGGAACCATACCTTTGACACATGGGCCTAGGGGTTATATTAGAACATAACCATAGCTGTTGATGAGAACTTTCCTAGTCCTTTGGCATAGCCCACTGAAATTAATGTCTTTACTGACAATTCCCATTCAGCCTCATATTTAGTAGGAAATCTATCATACATGGCAGGTCTTCTGTCTTCCAAGACTGCTGAAAATGTTTGTCTTACCTTACCCCCTCTCATTCTTAGTTCACTGCATTCTTAGTTCATTTATACATTTGAATATTTGAGTGAAAATGTGCTAGGTTCCTGTTGTCACTAACACATTCCTACAAACATCATTTTAAAACAATGCATTGCTACAAACAGTATTTTAAAACAATACCAGTTTATCCATATATTTGTAGTTATACAAAGTCTAAAATCAAGAAGCTGACACAGTCTTGTCTTTCACAGCGTCTTTGGCTCATGGCCCCATCATCCATCTTCAAAGCCAGTAATAACTTGTCAGAACTTTATGATGCCACATCACTTTGACACTCCTTTGTAGATAAAACTTTAACACACAGACACACAATACACACACACACACACACACACACACACACACACACACACACACACACAAAATTGTATTGAACCTGCCTGAATAAATAACCCTGATAATCTCCCTATGGTAAGATCTTCAACTTAGTCACATTCCAAGTTTCTTTTTTTTTTTTTTTTTTTTTTTTTTTTTTTTTTTATAATTTTTTTAATTCCCCCCTAATCCTCAATCCTTTCCCCCCCCCCCCCCCCCCCCCCCCCCCCCCCCCCCCCCCCCCCCCCCCCCCCCCCCCCCCCCCCCCCCTTTACCCTCTCTACCCTCTCCCATGCACTCTAAACACCCTCCCCTCCCAACCCCCCACCACAATACAATATGTAGGGGAATGCCATCCAGTTGGGGTCATGTAGATCTGACAGGTCCTGTGAAGTAGGGACTAGGGCTTCTCTCCTATCTCTAGAATAAGGCAGTTATCCCTCCATGGGGGATATGTTTGCAAAGTCCTTTTGTGCACCAGGGATACATCCTGGCTCCACTGTCTGAGGTCTCTTAGACTGCTCAGACCTTCTGGCTGAGACCCATATTCAGGGGAGTCCGAGTCAGACCCCTGTTGGCTTCCCAGCTATCAGTCTAGTGGCCCTTAGCTCCTCCTTGTTCAGGTAAGCTGTCTCTATGTACTTCTACCGCATGGTCTTGTCCTCTCCATCTGCTTCTGGGTTCTAGTTTGACTCAGTGTTTATGTATGGGTGTTTGCTCCTGTTTTCAACAGGCATTAGTTGAGGACTCCATGGAGAAGTTAGTTGTTGATCTCACTCTCTGGGAAGGGCATTTATGATAGCCTTTCCACGGAAGCTGAGATTGTTAGTTGGGAGCAGTCTTGTAGTTCCTTTGACCTTTCTTTGTGTTCAACTTTATCTTCAAACCAATATTGGCTCCCTCTTTTATGTTCTCTCTCTCTGTCTCTGTCTCTCTCTCTCTTTCCTATTTTCCATTCCTAACCAGGCTCAATCCTCCTAGTCGCACATGCCTTCCTCTCCTCCCTCTCATTTTCTCCTACTTCTCTCTCCATTAGCTGTCCTCCCCCACTATACCTGAGGTCTGGTGGACTTGTCCCTTCCCAGTTCTGTGAGGGACTTTATATGAATCTCTTAGAATACAACTTGTATCCTAGTTCCTCTGGTGATGTGAATTATAGGCTGGTGATCATTTGATCTAGGTCTAAAATCCATATATGAGTGAGTACATACTGTGTTCCTCTTTTTGTGACTGGGTTACCTCATTCAGGATGGTTTCTTCAAGTGCCATCCACTTGCCTGCGAATTTCAAGATACCATTATTTTTTTCTGCAGAGTAGTATTCCATTGTGTAGATGTGCCACATCTTCATTAACCATTCTTCAATTGAAGGGCATCTAGGTTGCTTCCAGGTTCTTGCTATTACAAATAGTGCTGCTATGAACATAGTTGAACAGATGTCTTTGTTGCATTGATGTGAATCCTTTGGGTATATGCCTAAGAGGGGGATTGCCGGGTCCTGTGGTAAACTAATTCCCATTTTCCTGAGGAACCGCCATACTGATCTCCAAAATGGCTGTATGAGTTTGCACTCCCACCAGCAGTGGAGGAGTGTTCCACTTTCTCCACATCCTCTCCAACATAAGTCATCACTGGTGTTTCTAATTTTAGCCATTCTGGCAGGGGTAAGATGGTATCTCAAAGTTGTTTTGATTTGCATTTCCCTGATAGCTAAGGATGTGGAGCATTTTCTTAAGTGTCTTTCAGCCTTTTTGATTTCCTCCATTGAGAATTCTTTCTTCAGTTCTGTACCCCATTTTTTAATAGGGTTATTTGGTGTTTTGTTGACTAGTTTCTTGAGTTCTTTGTATATTTTGGAGATCAGCCCTTTGTCGGATATAGGATTAGTGAAAATCTTTTCCCAGTCAGTGGGCTGCCGTTTGGTCTTGTCAACTGTGTCCTTTGCCTTACAGAAGCTTCTAAGTTTGAAGAGGTCCCATTTATTAATTGTTTCTTTCAGTGTCTGTGCCCCTGGAGTTATGTTCAAGAAGCGGTCTCCTATACCAATTTGTTCAAGGGTACCTCCTACTTTCTCTTCTAAGAGGTTCAATGTGGCTGGATTGATGTTGAGGTCTTTGATCCATTTGGACTTGAGTTTTGTGCATGGCGACAGACATGGGTCTATCTGCAGTCTTCTACACACCCTCATCCAATTGTGCCAGCACCATTTGTTGAAGATGCTGTCTTTGCCCCATTGTATCATTTTAGCTGTTTTGTCGAAAATCAGGTGTTCATAGGTGCATGGATTAATATCAGGATTTTCAATTCGATTCCATTGGTCTACCTGTCTATTTTTATGCCAATACCAGGCTGTTTTCAGAACTATAGCTCTGTAGTAGAGCTTAAAGTCAGGAATGGTGATGCCTCCTGATGTTCTTTTATTGTATAGGGTTGTTTTGGCTATCCTGGGTCTTTTGTTTTTCCATATAAAGTTAATTATTATCCTTTCAAGGTCGGTGAAGAATTGTGGTGGGATTTTAATGGGGATTGCATTGAATCTGTAGATTGCTTTTGGTAAGATTGCCATTTTTACTATGTTTATCCTACCTATCCAAGAGCATGGGAGGTCTTTCCATTTTCTGGTATCTTCTTTAATTTCTTTCTTTAGAGTCACAAAGTTCTTATTATATAGATCTTTTACTTGTTTGGTAAGCGTTACACCAAGATACTTTATGTTGCTTGTGGCTATTGTAAAGGGTGATGTTTCTCTGATTTCTTTCTCTGCCTCTTTGTCGTCTGAAAAAAATAGGGCTACTGATTTTTTTGAGTTTATCTTGTATCCTGCTAGTTTGCTGAAGGTGTTTATCAGCTGTAGGAGTTCCCTGGTAGAGTTTATTGGGTCGCTTATGTAAACTATCATATCATCTGCGAATAGAGACAGTTTGACTTCTTCCTTTCCAATTTGGATGCCCTTGATCTCCTTTTGTTGTCTTATAGCATTAGCTAGAACTTCTAGTACGATATTGAAGAGATATGGAGAGAGAGGACAGCCTTGTCTTGTTCCTGATTTTAGAGGAATTGGCTTAAGTTTCTCTCCATTCAGTTTGATGTTGGCAGTTGGTTTGCTGTATATTGCTCTTATTATGTTTAGGTATGTTCCTGTTATCCCTGACCTCTCTAATACCTTTATCATGAAAGGGTGTTGAATTTTATCGAAGGCTTTTTCTGCATCTAGGGAGATAATCATATGGTTTTTCTTTTTCAGTTTGTTTATATGGTGGATCACATTGATAGATTTTCGTATGTTAAACCATCCCTGCAATCCAGGTATGAAGCCTACTTGATCATGGTGGATGATTTCTCTGATGTATTTTTGAATTCGGTTTGCCATTATTTTATTGAGTATTTTTGCATCGATGTTCATCAGGGATATTGGTCTGTAGTTTTCTTTCTTAGTTGTGTCTTTGTGAGGTTTGGGTACCAAAGTTATTGTGGCCTCATAAAAAGAGATTGGCAATAAACCTTCTGTTTCTATCTTGTGGAACAGTTTGAGGAGTAGTGGTATTAGTTCTTCCTTGAATGTCTGGTAGAATTCTGCACTGAATCCATCTGGCCCTGGACTTTTTTTCGTTGGAAGGCTTTCGATGACTGCTTCTATTTCATTTCGGGTTATAGGTCTATTTAAGTTGTTTGTCTGTTCTTGATTTAATTTTGGTAAGTGATAGTTATCCAGAAACTTGTCCATTTCCTTTGAATTTTCAATTTTTGTGGAATACAGATTTTCAAGTATGACCTGAAAATTGTCTGGATTTCCTCTGTGTCTGTTGTTATGTTCCCCATTTCATTTCTGATTTTGTTAATTTGCATGTTCTGTCTCTGCTTTTTCGTTAATTTGGATAAAGGTTTATCAATCTTGTTGATTTTCTCAAAAAACCAACTCTTTGTTGCATTGATTTTTTGTATTGTTTTCCTGGTTTCTATTTTGTTGATTTCAGCCCTCAAGTTGATTATTTCCCTGGCGTCTGCTCCCCGGGGGCTTCCCCCCCCTCCCTCTGTGCTTTCCTTTGCTCTCGCCTTTCCT